ATATATATATATATATATATGTATACGTGAAAACGCGTACGGGCTTGTACAACGTACACTCGACCGAGTGGCACTTATCGTGGCCTCGTGTATTACACGCACATTACGCGCGTGTAACTTGACTCGCGCGCGCGTCAAGAGTGCAACGAGCGCCGCTTCAGCGTACTTCGCGTACGAGTGCGTGCTGCATATTGCAATTTATACTTTCGACCGGTTCGCGCGCGCACGAGACGCGGGGGAAGGGGAGGGCGTAAAGTGGCGAGAGAACGGGAGACAAAGAGGACGGGGGGAGGGGGAGGGGGGCAGCGTCACTTTACCACCGAGCTATATTTGCATAATTTCAAGTAACCCCGCAAGTTTCTCTTCCCCTCAATCGCGAGAGACTTCTGGAGAAGCGGGCTCCGCGCGCGCAAGTGCGACTTTTTTTTTCCCTCCTCGCTCGGCGTGAACGTGCACGCGAGAGGATTGGACGCGGCGCCGCGCGCGACGGTACGCGACGTGAGTGACTCGCCGCGCACGAGAAGCCGAAGCCTTAATTTTAGGGATTTAGGGAATCCAAAAAGCGGATACGCACGCATCCTTTCCCTGATGGGAGGAAGTCTGTCGCGGTCCGATGTCCTCGGCTCGCCCCGGGCGAGCCCCGGCAGCCGCCCGTGGTCGCGGGAGTAAAAAGGACGGCAAAGAAAGAATATAACGTCGGGGAACGCAAGAGGAAGGGGTGTATCTTGTATTACGGGTTTGTACCGAGCCTGTAATCATCGCGGGACCGCGAAACGCCCATCGACGCCCTCTCATTCCGCCTCTCGCCATTCTATTTTCTTCTCTCCTCGCCCGCGCTCCGTCCGTCTGCCTCCTCTCCCTTCTCCCCTCCCGCCCCCGGTGGGGGATGCCGGGGCACCACTTTTCCCGGGGCCCGACCGCCCTCTCGCGCCGCGCGCGATCGTGCCTCTTTTTTTTTTTCTCTCCTCGCCGCCCCGTTCCACCCTCTCGCCGGCGCTTCGTCGCGTTCACGTCGATGCGCCCATTCTATAATCATTATCGGCTTTCGCAGTCGGCTTTCGCGGATGCGCGCCGCACCTCTTTTTCTCTCTCTCTCTCTCTCTCTCGCTTTCTTTCTCTCCGTTTACATTCCTTCAGTCGTTATTCGTTTCATTCGTCGTTTCCCTCGTTCGTGCTTGTTTACCTGTATAACGCATCTCTCGCTCGCATCCCGCGAATTCCGTTGCTCTCCATTACGAATTGACCGCGCGAGACGCTGCTGCGCCAACTTTTTTCGCCGGTGCTTCTTCTCCCCTTCCTCCCCCATCATCATCGTCGTCGTCGTCATCATCCCCGCGCCTCCCTTCTCCGTGCGCGGAAAAACTACACGCACGGAAATTTATTACCGAGACGCGCGCTAATATTAGACCCTCCGCGAATTCTCTAGCATCCACGTTTGTATTTACATTGAATTTTCGATGAGCACATACTAGGTATACGTCCGCGCTCGCCTTCCCAATTATGCTAGCTCGTAAATTAACGCAGAGCTCTGTCGCGTATACGCGATCATCAAGTAGGCTCGTTTCCGAGCACTCTTTTTTTTCACATTCGTTCGCGAGTGCTATTTACATCGTGCAATTCATCCACTCCACGTACCTATATTTATCTTCGAATGTATGTATACCGCCGCTGCGTTTGAGGGGTTTTTTACCCGGAGCGCATGATAAATAATGCTTAATAGATAGAAAATAAATAAATAAATGAATAAATAAATTTTACGAGAAACACCATCGGGAGGGAGCCGGAGACGCGATTTTATCGTAACGCGCCCGTGTACCGACGTGTATTCGCGCCGCTCGTTAAATTGATATTTCATTTTGAAAAGCGTCACCAGATGAAAAATCGGCGCGGCAACGCGCCGATGGAAGTTACGTTTTAATACGTTCGCAACGAGTCGGATATCGGGGCGGGCGATAGTAGGGTAAAGTCGAAATCGATTATCGCGGGCGCTCGCGTGACGATTGATAATAACCCGCGTCGACGCCGGTAATTACGGTTTTGTCACGTTCGTCGGCGCCGCGGGGAATATGTGGCTAATCCGTTGTTCCAGCCTGTACTTGCCGCGCGGTGTCTGTTGTTAAACGAGATTAACGATATCCGCGGGAGATTAACGGCGGGGAACGGAACGGGGGGGGGGGG